AAAAAAAAAAAAAAAAAGAGCTTCTAGGGCTGGGAAGAAGGAGCCATATGTCCACCTAGTTCCTGGAACAAGGGCCCAGGCAAGATTTCCTGGGAGATGTCACTTGCCCACAGCCCTGTTGGCCTGGGCTGGGTGAGCAAGGCTGGAGGACATGGGCTCCTGGACAGATGGCACCCACCTTCCTTACATAGCCCAAAGTCCGCGATCTTCAGGAAACCCTGGGCATCCAGCAGAAGATTATCCAACTTAAGGTCCCTGAGGGCGAGGGGGGCAGATCAAAGGAGCTGAGAAGGGCCAAGGCCCAGGGAACAGCGGCCTGGCCCCAGAGCAGCCCAGGAGCTGGGCAGCATCTGTGCCCTTCGCCCACTCCCCAGCATCTCAGCAACAAGTTACCTGTAAATGATCTTCTTCTCGTGTAAGAACTGTAGCCCCAGGACCACACAGGCCAGGTAGAACCTAAAGGGGGTGGTGTAGGGGGGATTCAGACCCAGGACTGCAGGGGGCAGGGCAGGGAGACACCAGGATGGCCATGGTCTGGAGATGCCCGGATGTCCCGGCCAGAGTCAGATGTGGGTGAGAGACTGGGTGGGGGTGGGACTCCTCCAGACAACGGCCCCAAAGTTGTCCCAGGGTTGCTGCCTGCTAACGGCCTCCCCTTCCTGGGCTCTTAGATTGTGCCAGGGACGAAGCTGAGTGTTCTCACGCCCATTCTCCCAGTCTCCTCCCAGCAGCCTGCAGTTGATACTCAACACGCCTGTTTTTCAAATGAGGATCTGAGACCCCAGGTAAGTGATACAGCCAGGGTCACACAGCTAGTGGCAGAGCTGATACGCAAACCCAGCTCCAGAGCCTGCATTCTGGTGGGCAAGAAATAACTCCAGCCGCCAGTCACTTACTCTTCCCCGGTCCCTGTGCTCGGTAATTATTAATGTTGTGCTCTTCTATGCAACAGGCCTATGAAATAGTTATTATTAGCCCAGTTCACAACTACATAAACTGAGGCCCAAGGTCACAAATGCTGTGAGAGTTGATAACCAGGATTTGAATCAAGGCCTCCCTGACTCCACGTTCTTCTGCTGATGGGTGCCCTGGAGGAAGCAGGATGAAGGGGGCTGGGGATAGGGAACCAGGGAAGGCTTGCTGGAAGAGGCAGTCAGGCGGGATGGGAGCTCACCGGGCCTGGGGCTCAGGGAAGACGTCCTCATGGATCTGCATCATGAGGTCACCACCGGGCGCAAACTCAGTCACGAAACAGGCGTGGCTGGAGGTCTGGAAGCAGGCAAGGAGGCAGAGCAGGAAGGGGTGGCCCGTGCGGCCCACAGCCTCCAGGATCCGCTTCTCGCAGTACAGGCTGCAGGGGAGGGCATGGGTTTCAGAGGGAAAGAACACCTCCGCTGGCCGTGCCCTGCCACCCATGCAACACCCCTGGCTCGCTGGATGTTCAAAGTGCCCGGCAGGTAGAGGGATGGTTTCTATGTATCAAGGGCTCACACGGGTCCTTGCACCTGCACAACCACCACTGCCACCGTCCCATTTTACAGAGGAGGAAACTGAGGTGCAAAGAGAAGAGGGGACCTGCCCTAGCGCACACGGTTCACAACTGCAGGTGCTAAAAAGAGAACCCAGGCCTGGCTGGCCCCACAGGGTCACCCCTTCAAAGCCCCAAGAGCATCCAGCTGCCTCCTGGTGCCCACAGCCCAGGCCAGCCATCCTGGGTACCTCCCCGGGTCCGGTGCCCCAGCCTTCCCGCACACCTCTCTATCTCGTCCCGGCTCAGCACCTCCTGCTTCTTCAGCGCTTTGACGGCATAGTACTTTCCTGTCCCCTTGAACTGGACCAGGAGGACCTGGGGACCAGAGACAGGCTAGGCTCCAGCGGGCAGTACCGGGGAGCCTTCACTTCCCCCGCCCACTACCCCATGATCACAGCGGCCCCCTAGCTAACGTGCTGGGGCCTGCCCGCCCCCTCCACTGTGCCCTCCTCAGCCCACTACCTTCCCGAAGTGTCCCCGGCCCAGCACAGCCAAGCAGCGGAAGTCCTGAAGCCGAGGGGGCTTCCTGCAAGAGAAAGGGCACAGGAAGCCCCCTGGACAAAGGCTGGGCCTCCACCAAGAGCCACTCCAAACCTCCACACCCAGTCCTAGGCTGTCCCCACCTAAGGGGCAGGAGGGAGAAGGGGTAGAGAGCCTGCTGGGGGCTCCTAGGATGGTAGCTGCCCGGAGTCTGGCATACGGCTGGAGCTCAGTAATGTGGGTCCAGTGAGTAAGAACCCGAGAGCGAGCCAGTGAATATGCCAAGGAGCTGCGGGGCGATGTATGAATGGACATGTAGACCCTCAAGTGAGTGGACGAATGTCTCAGACATGAAGGTGACCTTAAGGGGGTACCTGGTAGCTGAGGCTGCTGGAGATGGCCCAAGTCGAGTCCTGGGCTCCACGTGGGGGCGTTTGATTTGCTGTGAGGGCAGAGGGGCTCATGGCAGAGTGGGGCTTCCTTCCCTCTTTCCTTCCAGCCCTGCCACCCCCACCCCGGCAGCCCCCAGGGCTACCAGCCCCCTCACCGGCCTCTCCTCAGGGGTTGGCTCCGGGGGCAGGTATAGGCGCGGGGGCTTGGGCGGGGGCCTCATCTCTTCTCCCAAGGGGGTCTTCTTGGGCGGGAAGTTACTGTGGGGAGGAAGCAGACACATGGCAGGGGAACAGGCAGATGGAATAGCTGGGGGGACAGACACACAGCCATGCTGAGACAGACGTCACAGAGTGAGCAACGGGGACAGAAAGATAGACACCGGGCCGGCCCCGTGGCTTAGCGGTTAAGTGCGCGCGCTCCGCTACTGGCAGCCCGGGTTCGGATCCCGGGTGCGCACCAACGTACTGCTTCTCTGGCCATGCTGAGGCGGCGTCCCACATACAGCAACTAGAAGGATGTGCAACTATGACATACAACAATCTACTGGGGCTTTGGGGGGGAAAAAAAAAAGGAGGAGGATTGGCAATAGATGTTAGCTCAGAGCCGGTCTTCCTCAGCAAAAAGAGGAGGATTAGCATGGATGTTAGCTCAGGGCTGATCTTCCTCACAAAAAAAAAAAAAAAAGAAAGATAGACACTGACTGCACCTGGAGAGAGGCGGACGCCTCAGAGAAGCTGGCAGCCTGGGGCAGGTGGCTCCTCACCTGGGTGAGGCAGGGGTGGCGGTCCCCTGGGGTGTGGCCGGGGTCTGGAGGCACACTTTGGGGGGGCTGATCGTGCTTGGGGAGCTGCAGGGGGGCAGCAGGCTCATGACCAAGCGCCCCCAGGCTGCCATGCTGAGGTTCATCTGGGAAGCCCTCAGAAAGTCCTGACCTGGGGGCAAAAGGGAGGCTCAGTCCAGGACCCCATGACGGGCCCTGCCCTGCTCCCTACACACACAGTCCTCTCCTCTCCACACCTCTGCGTTTTGAGAAAATGCGTTTCTGCCTCTGCAGCCGGGGCCTCCTCTCAATGACGGGGTCACAGAAGGTCACCTGTGGGAGCAGGGGGCAGGGCTGAAGACCCTCCTACCCCATCTGCCATTGGCACCGCCCCTGCCTCCAGGATCCCAGCCTGAGCCTCCAGTGTCAATAGATGCAAGAGCCAGAAGGGCCCAGAAAGATGGATTCAACATCCTCATTGGTACCAATGGGGAAACTGAGGCCCAAAGAAGAGAGGCACTTGTCCAGGGTCACACATGAGGCAGTGCAGAGTCAGGACAAGGACGCAGGCCTCTAGACTCCTGTAAAGGACTGGGAATCCTGCATTCCTGGAGACCTCCCTCCAGGCCTCAATTTCCACTTCTATGCGCAGGGGGGTCGCACAGTCTTGAAGGCCCTTCCAGCCATCAAGCTCCGATGGAGCCAGGGGCCTGTGAGGTCAGAAGGCAGGGGCCATTGGGCACCTGGGCAAAGAGCAGGCCCTGTGGCACCAGGCTGAGGGACAGCTGGTGACAGGCATTGTCCAGGAAGTCCTCCAGCCGCAGGAAGGCCACGCCGCACAGCTGCCGCCAGTCCCGCCAGTGCACCCCAATCTCCAGCTCTCGGGCCTACATCAGGGAGGCCAGGTTGAGGGGTGGGGCACAGCACCAGCCCCTACCTAGCTGGCCTTCCACCCCGTGGCCCAGGATGGCCCGTGATGGCACAAGGGCCAGCCTCACCCGCTCCAGGGGGACGATAAAGGTCTGGTCCCAGGACTGCTTGGCCACCAGCCCCCAGCCCGTCTGGCCCACGACACGATTGTCCACCTTCAGCACGGCCAGCACCTCGCCTGCAGCGCCAGAGCCAGGGCTCAGGGCAGGCTGTGAGTGGGTGTCCTTTGCTGCCCACCAGCTCCCTGTGCCCCCTACTCACTGGCCAGCTCGCCTCCACCACGCTGCTGCTTGGCCCTGCCCCGAAGCCAGCTCTGGGGGGCGCTCCCGGCCAGCGCAGCCGCCGGGGAACGTCCAGGCACGGCTGACAGCAGCTGCTCACAGCCCAGGAGGCGGACCTGCAGCGTCCCTGTGGAGGAGCATGAGGAAGGACTTAGTGCCATCCTCCCACTGCCACCACCAACGGGCCCCTGGGACCCCAAAATGCTCTCCTCTCCTGGAGGCGGCTAAACCCACACCCTGCCCACGTCAGGCCTTGGCAGCCACCTGCCACCCTCCAGACAGACCAACTGGCCCTCCCCTCCTGAGGACTCTCTTGTTGGGGAAAGTAGGGGGACACACAGACAGAGGAGCAAGACTCAGATCTCAGCCAGGCCTCACGGAGCCACAGGCCCTGACGACATGCTGCACAGGGCTCAGGGCGAGGCAGGGAGGAGAGCTTGGGGAGCAGGAAGCCTGGCTGCCTGTCTTGTCTCCCCTCCTCCTTGGGCCTCAGTTTCCCCATCTATACAGTGGAAATGAGTACCAGCTCTGCCCCACCTCCCACAAAGCATATTTTGCCAACAAAGTGGATTCATTTTTAAGGTCATTAGAGTTTTGTCCCTCAAATGGTAGAGGAAGCAGTGGGACTCTAGCCCTAAGAGCACCATTTAGGGAGTCCGGGCCCGGGGCTTGTAAACAAAGGCAGTGCTCGGAGTTGGAAGATCATCTTAAGAACAACTCGAGGAACTGGGGGGTTTAGCCAGGAGACAGGATTGGGGTGGCCCTGAGTAACTGAATTCTAGGCCTTTTAACGAGCCATTCCCCTTGCCTTCCCCAACTTGTCTACTTTGCCAACTCCCATAAGCCCTTCAAGGCCAAGCTCAGATACCACCTCCTCCAGGAAGCATTCCTTAATTCCCCAAGGCCAGGTGAGGGGGCCCATCCAGCCCCTGTACTTTCCCTTTTTAGCTCTGCTCACAGTGGGATGTGGCCTGTCTACCCCTGCACCATTTCTGAGTGGGCAGGCGCTGGGCTCTCTAGTTGGCATGGTCACCCAGGTGGGAAGCTCAGGGCTTCCAAAGTCGACACACTCAGATTATTTGTTGATTGCAATTCGGCTGCCACTACAAGGAGACAGATTCAGCTCAAGATAAGAAAGACCTTTCTAACAGTCTAAGCCGCCCAGGACTGGGTACCAAGGCCTCCAGGGCTGTGAGCTCCCTAACATTGGCACTTGAAGCATTATCATGGGTACTCATTTAAATAATAGCTTCATTGATCGTGAGCTGACTGTGCCGACTCTGTGTTTAGCACTTCACATTCAACAACTCACTGAATTTTCACAGCAACCCTATGACGTAGGTGCTGTTATCATTCCCGTTTTATAGATGGATAAACTGTGGTTCAAAGAGGGGATGTCAGTTGCCCAAGGTCACACAGCTGGGGAGGGGGCCAGGATTGGAACCCTTCTCCAAAGTTCTTCCGCACTGTGTTTCAGGGTCCTCTCGCAAAGGGAAGGGGAGCTCTGAAGTGGGAGGGACTCCCAGCTACCTGTCATGGCAGTGGGCTTCACAAGGGTCCCTGAAGGCTGGGGGTTCCCAGACACAGCAGTCCGCAGCTCCCGGGCCACTCTGCCCCGCAGAGGGTGGGCAGGGGGCAGTCTCTCCAGCAGCTGCTCCAAGGCCAGCCGCAGGAGGTCCAGTTTCTGGGAGGACTCCTGGAGCTGGGCCTGAGCCTGCAGAGGGGACACAGGCAGGGGGTAGTGGCCCAGGGAGGATTGGGGCGGGGGGCCACCCGGAGACACCCCTCCTGTGAGGTCTAAACAGAATGTGCCTCCTCTTTGCCATCCCACGCAGCCAGCCCAGGCATGCCCCCTGCCACTGCAGAGGCTCATAAGAGAACAAGCACACCCTCAGAGAGGAGCAGCCATGGGAGGGGACCAGGGTCTGACCTCGGCCAGCGCCTTGCGGTCCTGCGCGCGCCGGCTACCCAGCAGCTTCACCACGTTCTTGGCACCCTCGGCCACAGCAGCCTCGATGTGTAGTCGATGCCTCAGCTCCTCTGCCAGCAGCTCAGGACCTGAGAGGAGGGGGTCAGCCCTCAGGCCCATGCCCTGCTTTGCCCTGCCCATCCCCACTTCTCAAGGCCTCACCTGGTTCAGGGGACCCACTGGCCTCCAGGCTGCTGATCTTCATTCGCAGCAGGGCCACCTTCAGCTGGCTATCCCGCAGCATCTGCTGGGCAGCTGCCAGGAGCTTCCTCTCCTATGGGGTCATGACATACGCCCCATCAGACCAGGGCTAGCCTCCCCTATCAGACCAGGGTTAAAGCCAAGCCTCCTTTGTTAGACTAGGTCCAGGGCAGAGCCTCCTCCATCAGACCAGACATGGCCTGAGGTCAAGCCTCCCCCATCAGATCAGGGCCAAGCTCCCCACGTCATGCTGGGAGTTGGGCCGGGGGCTGGGATTCTCCCATTAGACCGGTGTGGTGCCCTCTCTGTTAGACTAGGGATTCGAGCCACGCCTTCCCCACCAAGCTGGGGTCTGGGACTCACCCAGCAGACTAAGAGGTAGGACTGTGTCTCCCTTACAGAGTCAGCGGCTAGGTTACAGGTCCCTGTCAGAATGGGGGCTGGAGCAGCGCCCACCCTGATAATCCGGGCGCCGGTCTCTCCATCAGCCCTGCGAGCCTCACCTTGGGTGTGCCACTGGCGCACGTGCGGGTCATGTTCTCGGCCCCCTGCTTCACCTTCAGTTCCACCTGCAGCTGCCTCCGCAGGGCCTCCAGGAGCCCGGCCCTCGGCTGCTCTGCCGGTGGCCGGGGTCCTGAGGCCACAGGTTCTGTGTGCATGGAGCGTGGGGCACATGAACCCCTCACCAGAGCCGAGAGCCCCCTGTGGCCTAGCTCTCTCTTCCCTGCCCCTCCTGGGCAGGGGCGACCTGAGGCCCTGGGGGTGCGGATCTGAGAATGGCCAAGGTCAAGGCCGGGGAGCTGGGTCGGCAGCGCCTCCTGCCCCGAGGCGTCTGCTCCGACTCCTCACTCACCAGCCAGGCCGGGCGAGGGGCTGGGCAGCAGGATGCGGGCGTGCAGCTCCCGCAGCTCCCCGTGCAGCTGCTCCAGACGGCGGTTGGAGGACCGCAGCAGCTGCTGCACGTGGCCCAAGTGGCGGCGGTCGGTGGCCACCCGCCTCAGGTTCTCCACACCCTCCTTGATTTTCAGCTCCTTCTGGATGGCCCGGCGGATCACCTCTTTCTCATCCTCTGGGGGCCGCTGGCCCGCCCCAGGCTGTGGAACGGCAGAGGAGTCATGCCACTCGGTCCCCCGCCACTGCCCTAAGCTCCCCACGGGTGGAGGGGGAGGGAGGCGTGGACGGCACCCAGGACTGACCCGCAGGGTTGGGAAGCATCTCTGACCTCAGAGCTAGGACCCCTAAGCCACATGGAAACCCTAAGGCTATTTCGCCAGCCCACGCTCCTGTCCTCTGCCATTAGAGAAGGGTCAGGGGAAAAACTGTTACGTTTATATGGTGTGACTGGGTGCCAGGTTCTGTTCTAAGAGCTTTGCATACATTAACTCATCAGTCTCCACAACAACCCTACGAGGCAGGTGCAGGCATTATCCCCATTTTATGGATGAGGAAACTGAGACACAGAGAGGTCAAGGAATTTGCCCAAGGCCACAACACGGAGAGGGAGACACCAACCATCTCTCAGGCCCCAGCCTCTGCCTGCCAGCCACGCTTAACCAGGCTGCTCTTAGGCTGGGATTCAGGCTAAGACTCAGGACCAGAAAAGGGCTAGAGATTCACCCAAGGTCACACAGAGAGGGCAGCCAGAGGCCCGAGCAGAGGCCAGGGCTGTCCCCTGATGTCCCAGTGTCTCAGGTGGCAGAGCAGAGGCACAGAGAGGGGGTTTGAGGAGGTCTTGGGGACCCACTCCCAGCTCGGCTCCTGGGAGGAAGTGGAGGCTTTCTCATTGCTTCACCCCAGGTTGGAGCAAGGAAGAGGAAAACCTCCTTCCAAGAGGCCAACATTTCAAACCAACCCGGGGCCAAAGCTGACCTCAGCCCAGGGTAACCCACAATGCCCCCCACACAGGGACTCTGGCAGAGCCTCCACCTTACCTCTCCGCCATCCATCTCCGGAGCCCAGTGGAAGGGGTGGCTACCGGAGCCTCAGGGACCCCCTACCCCAGGCCTCCACTGGCCTGCTGGCCGGTCCTTGGGAGGCCAGGGGCAGGGGCGGGGCTCAGGAAATCCTTTGAGGGCCCTAGGCCAGAGGGCCAGAGCCAAAGGCCCTAGCAAACAAAGATCCCACAGAGCTGGGGGCCCGGCCACCGGGGTCCTGAGTCACCCAGCCGCCGCTGCTGGGCGGAGGTTCACAGGAAATCGGAAAATGTGTACAAGCCACTGCTGGAACAGGCGGAGGGGCCTCCGGAGGAAGGCGGTGGGAGGGGGCAGACGTAGCCCCGAAGGCTGCCCAAGCCTGGGGTGGGGGCACTCAAGGAGTCTTGTGGAGGACGCCTCACCCTCGAGCATAGCCCACGGTCCTGTCTGCTTGGTGCTGGAGCCCCGCCATGTGCACACACCCCTCTCCATTTCTGCTCTGCGGCCGGGACCCTATCTTGTACACAAATGCCCACGCCCTCGTTTGCTCTGGGCTAGAACTCCACCTCTCCCTCCCCAATAACAGACAAGCGCACAGCCTTGGCCCCTGCGCCCATGCGCACCTATTGCCAGCTCTGGCAGGAACCCCGCCCCTCGCCATGTGGGCCGGAACCCTGTGTACCCGAAGGTTCCCGCCGGGGAGCTGGGCTAGGCCCTTCCCCTTGGCGTGCACACTCCCCGGTGCCCGAGTGCTGGGGAAGGACCCCCCAGGTGCGCGAAGACGGGCCCCTCCCGGAACCCCTTCTGCCTGCGCACACATTCTTCTCCCCCGAGGACGCCTCCCCAGGTGCCCGCACGATAGACTCCTACCTGGAAGAATCGATTTTGGGAAACTTTGGGGCCCACCCCGGTGGCCCTCACTGCGGATTCGGACGTGCTCATGGACTGGCCTGACTGGAGGTTCTGAGTCACTCGGGGGTGATTTGGGGACGTTTCCAGGGGGCACGAACGACTTACCCCCAAAGCGCAGGTCTGCACTGCGAACGTGTAGGGGGGCCCGGGGCAGGGGCTGAGAGGGGATACGGGGAGTGGTTGGGGGTGCGGATCTCGAGGGCGGGGTTGAGGACGCGGCGGGAGCTCGGGGCGCCCGGGGCGGTGAATGAGGCTTCCCCGCCCCCCTCGGCCCGCGCCCACAGCCCGGCCTCTCCGGGCGCCGTTCACCTGCTGCGGCGCCCCCTCCTCCATGGCGCCGCTCCGGCCGCTCGGCCCCTCCTCTCCACCGCGCAGGTTCCGGAAGCCCCGGCTCCTCCGCCAGGACTTTCAAACTTGAAACTTCCCGGGAAGCGGCAGCGGAGCCGCGGGATCGGGCGCCCCCTCCCGAGGTCCGCTGGCCCTCCTGGACCTGGGACCAGCGCCGCCTCTCGGCCGCGCCGGATCGCGCCCCGGACCCCACTCCCGTCCCCGAGGCCCCAGCGCCTCCCCCGGACCCGACGTTCCGCGGGATTTGGGGCCAAGTGCCCCCTCTTCTGAGGCCGTAGTTCCCGCTCCATGCGACACTGACCCCCGCCGCGGGATAGGAGGGCAGGAAGGGACATTTCCCGGGCGGGGTGCTCTAGTTGCCCCGCCGCGCGCCCAGAGGAGCGCGCCCGGATGGGGACAGCGCCGCCTGCCGGCCGCGGGGCGCTGCCTGTGTGGCCGGTCCACTCCTAGGAACCCCGCCACCGCCTGGCTCCTGCTACTGTCTCCGTTTTGAATGTCGTTGGTGTAAAATGGGCTAATCCCAAACCTGTCGCCGCCACGGACTGGTTAGCCCTGTCTAGAGTCAATATAAGAATGTATACGTCTGAAAAAAGTAAAACCTCATCCAAATTAAGCCAAATTACAAGTCACAGATGAATAAACCAAACGTCTCTCAGTCCCCCATCACTTGACCAGACTTGAGCTTTCTGGTTCAGCCAGTTGCACCTTTGCCCTAAAAAGCGCATTTAAACAGAAGACGCATTTATAGCTTGAGACATAGCCAGTCTCAGAAAGTATCCAGCCCGCACTAGGCGAACTGGCAGTGGCTTGCGTGTGTAGGGGATCCGGGTCCTTTACTGCCTAGTCTGGGCTGTTTAGCCACTTCCTGGCATGGTGTGCTCACCAGCACTTGGTGCCAGGCTTCATGGAAAGAGCCTGGCCCAAGGGGCCAGAAGTGAGTAAGGGTCAAATATTGAATGTGGCTTATTTGCTGACTTGGCATGGGCGCCCTCCAGTGCTTTTACTGAAGGAAATCATGTCAGTTCCACTTTGCCTGGACCACCTTCCTCACGATGGACTGGCAAGTGAAATTGGCAAGCCGTGGACAATCCTGGGTTGTCTTGCACTGGGAAATCAACCAAGTGGCATCAACAAAGGCAAAGGCAACTTAGTTCCCTGGGGGACATGCCTACACCCATCATCAGAGGCTAGTGACACTTTTACACATAGAGTTGTTGAGGGCTAGACATTAACACATAGTAGGCTAGCCTGGCACATAGTAGGCTTTTTTAAACTGGGGTTATTATCAAGCTGCCCTGAACTGAATGTTAATTAACCATAATTTAGAAGTAAAAAGACTATCAGGTTTTTTGTGTGTGTGTGTGAGGAAGATCAGCCCCGAGCTAACATCCATGCTAATCCTCCTCTTTTTGCTGAGGAAGACCGGCTCTGAGCTAACATCTGTTGCCAATCCTCCTTTTTTTTCCCCAAAGCCCCAGTAGATAGTTGTATGTCATAGTTGCACATCCTTCTAGTTGCTGTATGTGGGACGTGGCCTCAGCATGGCTGGAGAAGCGGTGTTGGTGTGCGCCCGGGGTCCGAGCCTGGACCGCCAGTAGCGGAGCACGCGCTTAACCGCTAAGCCACAGGGCCGGCCCAAGACTATCAGTTTCTGACTGCAGGTTATAGGTTTGAGGAAAAAACAATGACTCAAACTAGCAAAGTTCCCCCTTTCAGGAGGGTGTCTATGTCCCATCTTGAGGATCATTTATCCACTGCGACAGCCAGAAAGCTGAATTAAGCTGAATTATGTGGAAGAACTCGAAATGATTTCCCAAGTTTGCTGTGAAGTGTCTCACTGCCTCACCTGTCACTCAGGGAAAGGAGTTGAGAAGTAGCAGAATCCATCCATCTTCCCTAATGAACCCCAGGCTGGACAAACCTACAGGGAAACCAAGTCCTGGGCTGATGGATGGGTCTGACCAGATAGCTGCGTCTTATGTCTGATGGTGATGGTACTTCGTTAAACTGCAATTCTTAGGAAACTGAAGTTCACGTTCAACATCCAGTGGATAGTGAATAGTGCAAACCAATTCCACAGGTAATTGGCTGTTGAACTTGCATCAACATCAACTTGAAAGGAACCTAAAACTTCCTAGCAGGGTACCTAGGAAATATTCTTCCCTTTCTATACACTGTTTCTTCTCAATATTGCAAATCTCAATCCATCTACATTTCCATTTGCCTCTCTTGGGTAATATCTGAGTACACAAGGTCACCAACTAATCACACAGGCACACACCCTCCACTTTTAAAGTCCTCTGTATTCTTGTTCTAATCACAAAACTGCAGTCCTTTCCCTCAGACTCGTTGAAAAGCAAACTTGTAAGTCTTCATAAACAGCTGCATATTCAAATGGGAATGGTCACTGCTGGGGTGGGGGTAGACTTTTCAAAAGGCTAAGATGTTGTCCTCTTTAAACAACTGAAATGGCTATTCATTCATCTCCTAAAGAACTTGTCTCAATCTTCAGGAAATCCCGAGTCCTCACTTTTTGCAACAGAATTCCATTCTTGGCAATAGCCATAAAGAGTTCATAGCAAAATCTAACAAAAAAGAAAAACTGTTTCTGGGACCAAGTGAAGCCATGAAACCAGTTGTATTATAAAGCAATAATGATAAAGATTACCAAATTAATCCAGAAACAATTGTCTAGGAATCCTCTGAATCCTCTAAAAGGCCCCCAAAATCCATCAAGAGTCAAAACCTCATAGCTTTTAGCAGCCAAACAGCTGATACAAGTGAAGTATGCCAGAGGTAAAGCAAATGTCAGCCGACAAGATACCTGGGTTCTCTGTGGACCATTTAAACTCTACACTTTAGAGCCAGAGTTGGGTGAAACAGTTAAGGGCTTGTCACGGAGGTCAGGCAATACGGTTAAGTCTTTTAGAAATCAGGACATCACTGGAGACAAGTAACTTCAACTGCAGGGATGGTCTAAAATAGAATATTCCTTAAGGTTTTGAAATTAAATGTAGCAACAAGCTACTGTCCTCTGTGGCTCAATTCATGGAAGTTATTAAGTGCCCCTCACAAGCCAAGTATGGCACAGCTTTGGAAGAGGATGTCCTCCCTCTTCCTAGAGAAACTCCCCAAACAGCCACTATCTGCTCTCTTCTTTTTAAATGTCCTTGTACCAAAGGAGCTTTGAGCCATTCATCTGGCACTTTCCAATACACACTTGCCTAAGGGCCAGCCCAAGAACTCCTCTTGCAATTGGGCACAGAGCACATCAGCCCCTCTGTAGCCCTTCTCCAGCACACTAAGGGCCCACTTTGCTTTCCCACAGCCTGGCACTCCAGAAGATTTGCAGGCACAGGGGGATCTAAAGGTAATCTCAATAGTTGGGAGGAAATTACCTTTAGGGGTTCCTAGTTTTTTTTACCACACTCCCCAAAACGAAGAAATATTATAAAATTTGGTTAAATGTGACCTATAACCTAACAGTACTACAATCTCACCAGCACATAAAAACCAGTTTGGGTGGGCCGGCCCTGTGGCTTGGTGGTTAAGTGCGCGCGCTGCGATGCTGGTGGCCCGGGTTCGGATCCTGGGTGCGCATCGAGGCACCACTTCTCCGTTCATCCTGAGGCCGAGTCCCGCATACAGCAACTAGAAGGATGTGCAGCTACGACATACAACTATCCACTGGGGCTTTGGGGGGAAAAAATAAAATAAATAAAATCTTTAAAAAAAAAAAAAAAAAAAAACCAGTTTGGGTAAGCTGTAACTTTATGAAACAAAAATCACAGGCTTACTTAATTCAAGTGACTACTGGTTTTTTCTCCTAGTGAAAAGTCCTTTAAATGTTGAGACTTCAAAATCAGAACACTCAATCCCTTCAGGAACTTACTACATTCCAAGTAACATAGGGATTTGTCCATGACTTTCATACATACCTTTCCGTGTAGATGTTACCTATGCTATACTTACTGCTAAACTATTGGAAGAGCAGTTTACCCCCTCTCCCAGTCATTATGCACACAAACAACAAGACAAAACACAAAAATACTAGCTTATCATCTAAATCCAAAAGCAAGTAACATTTCTCTACAAAACAAGGAGAATGACCCCAGTCAAAAAAAATCTTTATGTTCCTTTATTGGAGCAAGATTCCTGACCGGTATACAGTGATGTATTTACTAAACAGAGACCTGTGCAGAAATTACAGACTACCCATCTAGACAGGTTTTCGTCACATTGCCTATTGATGGAATAGTTCCATTTATAAAGTTTTATACATCAAAAAGCTTTGAATTTGACCAGGCTGTCCATTAATTCATCTCTGAAAAAGTGGCATTTAACTTTAGCTACTATATTTTACAGCATTAAAAAGCTTATGCATTAGGTAGCTTCTCAAAATGTTATTCTATGCACAATGGCATTTAGCAGACAGAGCAGAGTCCACTGTCTCACCCAGATTCACACAGATGGGTCTAATTTCAGCTATATGCTAAATAGCTGGTACTTGGAGACAAAAGTACTCCTAACCTGAGTTTCTTACCACCAATACGGACTTCTTACTCTGAGAGCCTGTCTCCTCGGCCACGTTTTACAGTGCCAATGAAGACATGCCAGCAGTTGCCCCGTGTGTAACTTGGCATTAGAGCACCAGGTCTGTCTGATGGTGGTGGCAGGCACTATTACTATATCCAGGTAAATAAAGGCCCATTTTTTAAAATGCCAATTAGAGATACAAATCGAGGGTACAACATACTCAAAACTGAGTTTTGAGCAATCTGGTATCCCAAATGATGTGAAAATTTTCAGAAACTGATGACACATTGTACCCATGATATTTCCCAACTATGGAGACATTAACACATTGATTCAAATCCCTTTACTCAATCCACATAGCCCTGAGGTCATCCTGCAAAGTGCGTATCAAAAAATACGTAGTTAGGGTGACAAAGTTTGACAACATGTTATACAAGTCAAACTTGGAAAGTCATATTAAGTATATCCATTCTGAGAGAAAAGCATCAAATCCTTTGTGTACACATTTAGTTTTATTGTAACAAAGCAACTTGTACACTTTTAACGTTTAAAACTCAGCATCATCTTTCCTTTCCAGTGAAACAAAAAGAAAATTTAAAAATAAACAGGAACAAAATTACAATAGAGAATGTCAATTCCAAATAATCCTACAGGTTCTGCTGATTCTCCCATTGAGTGGCAGGGCTCAAGTCATCATTAGGAGAGAATTTTATTT